TAGTTTATCATTGTAACAAAAGCATTGTTTCTCCCCAGCCCCGTGCAAAGCATGTTTTACTTTTAACCTGTCGCCGCCGCCTCACCGTGAATCCAGCTCCTGTCTGCTCCGTGTTGTGTAGGCTACTCTGACTGACTGTGCCCGCCCGCTCCAGGTTTGAACGTGGGTGTGTGTGGCGGAAGAGCTGACGAGGAGGAGGCGGAGGAGGAGACAGGATTTGACAAAACCATATCATATAATAATATGTAATTTTCGTCTCGTCTTTGTTCGTGAACTAAAATGTCCATAGATTTTAGCCCAGTCTTTATTTACCGAACTGCATTTTCGTCTCGTCTTTATTAGTCTACGAAAATTATTTCTGATTTAGTCCCAGTTATTGTTTATTAGTGGGGATTTTAGTCTCGTCTCGTCTAGTTTTCGTTCGGTGAAAAATGTGCGTTGACGAAAATATTTTCGTTTAGTTTTCGTTAACGAAATTAACACTACCCCTCAGGGCGTTTTGGTCAGCCACCCAGACCACATCTCCAACAGCAACATTTCGCTCTTTGGTGTGCCATTTGCTTCTTATGAACAGATTAGGTCCAGCCAGTTGGCTCCACTTCCTCCAGAAATTGTTTACCTCTGCTTGAATATGTTTAAGCCTTTTATAGGGGTAGCCATTAAACTGGAAATCCCCAGGGTCTCCTCTTGCATTGGCACGTCCTAAAAGCAGAGAATTTGGGGTGATGTACTCTACACAGTCTTCTCTGCTTTGAGTTCTTGCATCGATAGGTCTTTCGTTTGCAAGGTTAGCTGCCATGAAGAGAAAGGGTTGGAATTCTCCCCATGTGAAGACACCATCTCCACCAAGGTTGCTCAACGCCCGCTTCACTACTTTAACAGCTGCCTCTGCTGCACCATTCCTATGGGGAGAGTCTGCAGGATGGATCTTCCACGACCATTCTGTACCATGCTTAGCAGCTGTATCTTCAAGTTTAGACTTGTAGTTGGTTCAGAAATCTATGAAGCTTCTCCAGTGCAGGTCTGGCTCCCACAAAGTTTGTTGCCAGGGTCTGACCAGAGTTTTCCTGGGGTGTCCTCTCAGTGAAGTGAACCTTTGATAGGCTAGCAGGAATCCTCCAGATGACATGTCACTCACCACTTCAGTGTGTATGGCTCGGGAAGCCATGCAGCAGAAGACTATTCCCATACTTTGAGTCTAGTTCTCTTCTTGACCTCGTCCTTTTACTTCATAAGGCCGAACAAGTCCATGGTGGTGAATTCAAAGGGTGCAGCTGG